AAGGTTAGCTAAAGTTAGCATTTTATTAATGGGAAAGCTAAGCAAAAGGTTAGCTAAAGTTAGTTTGTTTTCTTATGGAAAAGTGTATCTAAAACATAACCAATTTTTTTTATTTTATTTTTTTTAAACTGAAGGACAGGCTAAACAAAAAAAAAATATTCCTTTTGAAACATGCCAAGTAAAAAGTTAAACCAAGTTTGCATTTCACTAATGGAAAAGAAACCAAAAGTTTATGATTGTTTACAAAACATTTCCTGTAAATTCCCAAATAAACCAGGTCCACACTGAAAGTGATCAACTCTGGAGCAGCAGACTTTGAATCCAACAAATCTTAGCAAAGTCCGAGCATGACAGATTAGTGAGTCAGGCTACTCATCTCCAGTACAACACGTAACTGGTTTGTTCCACTTTGGAGTAAGTTGTTGGGAGAAGAATCAGTTTTGTTGTGCGTTTCCTTGACTGATGAAGCCTTCTGGATGGAAGGTGAAACGTTTCAGCACAAAAAAAACTGTCCAGATGACCCGACTGAAAGATGTTGGATTGTACACCTGGATTATTGAGCATGGACTTGTTGTTACAACACGTAGACTTTGTCCATTTCTTCCACAACCAGAACAATTATTTTGTGGACCATCACAAGGAAAGATAAACATTACACTATTGACTTCCTGGTTTCTGTCCTTAATGTAATGACATGTGCACTATTAAGTCAGGAATTAAAACTCCATTTTTTTAGCACCAAACAATAACTGGGTGTATCTTAGAACTAGTTTGTGTGCACCACTGTTCAGATTTTAACTGGTAGTCAACTCACCATGATGACTCCGATGCCAATGCCAACTCCACCGAGGATGTGCAGCTTGTTGTTGAACACTTCATCAATCGCTTTTGGGCAGCTCTGCAAAAAATAAAAAATAAATCTGTTGCTTATGCAAAGAAACTGAATTAAGCTGTTAAAAATGTCTACATTTACTGAGGTATTAGCTTTTACGGGTTGTTTTATTGTTTAAGAAGCAGCTTTTTCCTAGAGAACTTTTCACATCTATTAGAAATAAATTAGACAAAATACGGTAAACTATTAGTTTTTACTTTACACATTACTTTTTGTCCCCGGTCTTGGAGCGAAGAGGCGGAATTAGAAACAGAGTCCATGTTGTGAACATACAACTTGGTACCAGCTTCCATTTTGGTGTGTGGCTACATGTAGGAGTAAGAAAGGTCACTATGGAAAATTGGATTGCCACATCAAAATCCACGATGGCTGCCACCATATACACGTGTTAATCTTGTGGGTTTAATAACTTGAAAAATACGCAACGCGTCAACTTCATTTTAACAGACAGTATAGCTGTATCTAGACGTAAGAAAGGTCCTTATCAAACATCGTCACGTCCAAATCAGTCCAGTAAAGCACTCGGCTTAAAATTACAAACGTTTACTATTCAAGTCCCTCAGCGATGAGGACATGGGCGAACAACTTGTTCTACTATGGAACAAGCTAAAGATTTACTGGAGAAGTCCCTAAATTCTTGAATGGGTACCTTAGTGACGAGGATCTCCAGTCCTTCCTGCTTAGGGCAGATGTCTTTGATAGCATCAATCACTGTTCCTGTAGGACCACAGCAGTCCAACTGTAAACGAAGGAAATAAAGGTTTAGAGAAGGGCTTATATTGTTCGATAAAACAAAAGTTAAAATGAGAATTCTCACGCCAAAGTGGATGAGGCGGAGCGTCTCCTTCAGTGCTTCCTGTTTCGTGGTCTTGTAGTTGTCGTAGGTCTGCTTATAAAACTCTGTAACATCTTCCACCACCTGCAGATCCAGAATAATATTGTACATTACTAGATTATCCACATAAACTTTCATATCAGATCTGCACCGTGTGGTTTTATTATACCGTGTCCTTATTGGAGAGTCCCCAGATCCCTGCAGCCACTTCCACAGCGAAGATGAGGAGCAGGAAGAGGAAGAACTAAACCCCCAAATTAAAAAGAATAGTAATAAAAAGTTAAACGGTTGGATTGATTGTAGTACACCATGTTTTAATCGTACCCACTGGTGGCTGGTTGAGGTGATGCACTTTAACCAAGCAGCCGTCGTCTTGGTCTCATTAGAAGAGTCGCATGCTGCTTTTGGACCGAACAGTTTTAAGAATCGTTGGCTCCAGAAGGAGCAGCCAGAAGGACTTATGGCGTTTGCTTTTGTATCGTCAGGTGAATTGTGATTGTGCAACACTTATCTGAAGGTCTATGCATTTAACATTCACCACTTGTGCATGTGGACGTACATTCATTAAAAAAAACTGTTTGAAAAAAGTACTACAAAAATTCAGGAGCCAAGACTCAACAGGTCTACTTTGTAATCAAGAACCTGTCATAGATGATGACCGTTAAGGAGCTTCTACATCATTAACGCAAATAGTTTTAATGGCGTAGGAGCAACTTATGTTCATGTGTGGACCAGTCTTATCCCCTTATGTCACTTTAAAGAGTCCCTACAGAGATAAAGCACTTTGAGCCAATGAACAGTCATAACTTTGAATGACCAGTACCTGCAGTGCAAAACCAAAAGACTAACTTCCTTAAAAAGAACTGACGTGGTACCATGTGGTGTGGAAGTACCAGCACGGTGAACGTTCAGTCCTTTTACATCACGATGGTTGTGCGATCTACATTTGGCCTGCACCAGTCAACGCAGGAACAAAGATAAAACTCTTTTTCCAAATGTTGGCACCAAAACAAATAGCAGCAGAAGAAAAACAAGAACATTGTCGTTATCTAAATATATGAAATGTATCATTCAGGGACTAGCAGGACAAATTGTAGGGATTGGTCCGTTTCATGGGTTTAGCCCCATCTTGTGTTGTGTTTTTTGTCTTATATCCTTCTCAGTTTCTATTTTTCTATAGGGTTTGTGTTTTCCTAGTGTATGCTTCCATCTAGTGTTGTGTGTCTGTTCCTGCACTCCCTGGCTTCCTGGTTTGTCATTTTCCCTGATGTGGTTCAGCTGAGTGTCCTCACAGGTGTTTTGTCTCATTTGTCACTGTATAAAAGTCTGTCTCTGTGTTAGTCCTTCGTCCTGGCATTGCTTCCCGTCACCTTGGTCCTCTGCGTTTCCCACAGTTTATGTAAGTTTGCTGCCCCATCAGCTGTTGTTTTGTTATTATTAATAAATTATTTTATTCATCTCCTGAGTCCTGGATTGTCTGCCTGCACCCCTGGGTTTACCCCTCACCAACCACCATTACGACACAAATATGGTGTTAAATTCCTTTTAAGTCCTTTAAACTTTAGATTTAAATGTAAACCTGCAGGACTGGTTTGTGAAACTAAACACTGTGCACCAGATGACCAAAACAATAAAAGATTATAAAATGGCTTCATCAACCTGACAAACACATACAGAAGTCCTATTAGAAGTTTGATAGGTTTCTCAGAGACTTGGAAAACTCTTAAGAGTCACCAATGTTTAGATTATGTAAGCAGGCAGCTAAAGACAGCAGCAAAACCAATGACTCACCAGACCCAACATGCACGGTGATTCCTTGATGGCTCCACAGCATCCCAGGAATCCCACGACCATCATCAGAGCCCCTGCAGCGATCAGGATGTACACTCCTACAGCAAAACACGGACATCACCACTGAGTGAAGAACCATGGGCATTCTTTGACTTTGTTGCCTTTCTGTTCGCTTCAGAACAACAGTTCAAACTGGAAGGTGACTGAGCTACAATCCCACAAGAGTACATCGAGTGTTAGCCAGGAGCATTTTTATTAGAGATCGACCGATATGGAAATTTTGGCCATCGCCAATACAGATATTGGGAGGGTCCGGCGACCGCCAATAACCGATAGAATGGAAGAATCTAAGTAAACAGCTACTTTTATGTTTGTTAACACTTGAAATCTTGAAACGGTCTTTCCAACGTGCGTTCACATTTTCCATCCTCCATTTTTCACCATGAAGTCGTCAAGTGTTACAAAAATATAAAAAAAAGAAACACCCTTCCTGTTCATTGTTTAAGTGAAGGTTTATTGACCGTAGCTGCATTTTTTTCTTTGCAAAGAATAAAATATTTCAGAAAATGCATTTCATGAGGACGACAGATACAACGGTACCAACACGGATATATTTTACCTCTACGTTAGATTTACTGTTCTGGATAAAGTGTCACAAGACAATAGCCTATGCTAGGTTATCTAAACGTTAGCTTTGTTACCTTGAGAGGCACGTAGCTAATGACTGAGGGTTGGACGATTGAAGATAATTTATTATGGTTTATTTTTTTATTTTTCAGATCAGTTAAAATAAATTTCAGCAAACTACACCACACAGTGTTGCTCGCTGCTTCGGCTGCGCTGAAAGTGAAAGTTAAAGTGAACGCCATGACTTTACGTAGTCTGCATGCGCCCTCTGCTGGATGCATTCTACAATTACTCCACTTGCAAGTAAGGACACATGTTCCCACTGTTTATATCGGCACATAATGGGATAATCATCAGATACAGATTCAAAATGTTTATAACGGCCTAAAATATCAGCCATACTGTTTGACGGGCTCTAATTTTTATCTGGATTTTATAATAAAACTATGAAAGGCCAGCTAACAGTATATCACAGCATATTTAGTGATTTCTGTACTTCCACTAGATTGTAGCAGCAACGTAAGCGTTGGGAGAAGACAAAAAAAAAGACATTAGTGGTAATCCAAATTACAAATAAAAGACCTGATACCTGAAATACATAATGTACTCTATGAAATGCATTAACTAATACATCTCAGTGATTAGAACTAAAGTAAAGTAGAGAAGCTACTGATCACCCCCAAGTTCACCACAAGAGGTGTATATGTGCTTATGTGTTGGATTACTCTCAGCTACTACCACACCCAGTTTTAGTTCAATATCTGTAAAAATCCAGAGTTCTCGAAATCGACCTTAGCAAACACAAAAAAATGGCTCCGATGGCCATCTTGAATTAAGGTTCAAGGATTACATGAGTTACATTAAAATGCATTCCCCAATTAAGTTATTTTCCCAAAAGAACAACAAAGCTAATTCCAACAGTTAATGCCAAACATTTACAGATGTTATTGTTTGTTATATGGTACATTTTAAGGCCATCAACTTCACCTTACGGTAACTAGGGGTTGAACGACCACATAATTTTAAAACTTGACATTAACATAATAAAACTTGAGTAGAACTTGAGTACTTGATGAAATCATAGGATCTAAAGATACAAAAATAAATAAATAAAACTGCAAAAAAGGTCATCATTTACAAAACTAGACCAACAAAACATTGGGAGTGTATATTTTGCTCCTACCATTCATCATCCTGCAAATAAGTCTCAGGAAAAACTAAACTATTAGTTTTTATTATTAAGCTGCAAAACTGAAAGAAACGTGTGGCACGTCAAAAACGAAACTAAAAAGAGTGGGGCGGTTGACCACCCCGCACCACCGCCAGCTGTGGTGCACATTAGGTTTAGTTTTAGAGATTAATATGTTTATAGTTTTTTTTTTTTTAAAGGTTTAGAGATTAATATTTTTTTGCTTTTTGTTTGTGAAACAAGGTCAGAGGAAGCTGGTTCTGGTTCAGTCTTTGGACCCGGTGTCGCACCATATTCTGTGACCTGCAACAGTGCATGCAACACCGCCCCCTACGGTCACAGTATACCGTGGTCACAGAATATGGTATAACACCGGTTCAACGAGCTCCAAACAGTCAGGAAGTTGATTCATTTTCTGTTTCCTTACGGTAGCTGAACCGGAAGATTCATCTTTAGAGAAATATTTCCACCCGTGTGTCAAGACTGGGTCTGCTCCGCTCCATCCGTCTGCTTGGAGGAATCCATTTTGTAACCCGTGCCCGGTGCGGATCACGTGACACCTGACGCATTGACGCCACCACGAGTACTCCATGTGAAAATTTTAAAACTCGATAGATGTCCTAGGAATCGATGTGTAGATTACTCGAGTCGTCTGTTAAAGCCCTTACAGTCAGTTGTCTTACTCTATATCTCACATCGTGATGCAAAACGTTCAGAGCACTGGATTTCGTTGTTTAAACGAAGGTTGATGCATATTACCAATATCCAACATGGATACGACCGAGACTCTTATGTTTAAAAAAAAAAAAAAAAAAAGTTTTTGCTTATGATAGCCCAAAAGGTAAATACTTTGGTCGGCAACACATTCAAGAAATTAATTTGAGCAAAACTGTGGTCCTATATATGGCCTGGATGATCCTCCCCCAACTGAAATGAGACAACTAGACTGTCGGCCGTCACGATCTCCCAAATATTTGCATTTAAAATGGTTTCTTACCAACTTTATACAAGGCTGCTGTTATACTTCCAGGTGTATTTTGATCAACGTAACCATGGTTGCCTCTCAAGGTCTTTGTTTAGCAGAAAACATTACAAACGGGAGGTTTTCTGCACCATCGTGAGGAGTTAAAGTCAAAGAAAGACGTCTCTGTGGCCTTAACGAGCTGATCTGAACCCAGTTTCAATGTGCTGCACAAACCAGGTTTCTGGTATTTGTGGACACCTTAAAGTCAGAGAGTGAACTTTAACTTCCCAGCATGTTTCTCAGACTAAAGTTAGATCAGTTACTTCCTCTTCCATCATGAAAGGCGAACAGTCATAATCGCTGAATCTCTGAAGTCGTACGGCAAATTTTAATTAAACCAATTATTGGACGTACACGTACCACTAACTACTGGTCAACCCAATTCAAAATGGCTGCCACATCTAATCAAGCTTAGCTTCAATGGTTAACGCTCAGTTAGTTTTACAGATTTTTGTCCAAAATGTGGTAGTAGCAGAGAGTCATCCTGAAACACTCAGCCAACTGATGGTGCGAGATAGATTTAATTATGGATTTCATTGCGTCAACCCGGTGTGTTAGAAATTTATCGTGTGAACCAGTGAACAGAGTTTAATAAAACTACTTGATGTAAATTCACAACTTGGAGTCGACCCAATTCAAGATGGCCACCACAGCTAAGAGACATTAGCAAACCATAAAGTGCTGGAACAGTCCATTTTAGCTGAAATTAGTTGTGTGAGTAGAGTCTTCCATCACAAAAACCAGTGCTAATACATCACAAGATCTTCAGGTGATGCGCGTCCTCCAGAAACACCAGTTTCCTGCAGCTACAGCAGCTGTGATGATAAGAAGGGACCTGACCACTTCTAATGTGGGGAGTTACTCAAACATCTTTCTGGTGACATGATTCAGAGCAGGTTGTGACGACGTCATGTTTTCATTCTGTGTTGGGCCTTTCACGTGGATGAATCATAATTATGGGCTTTAGAAACGTGCACAACAATCAGCAGAACGTCAGCCGAACAAATCCTCCTCTACAAGCCGTTATCAAGATGTTTGTCATTTCAAACCCGTCCTCCGTCGCCTCGCTGCCCACTTCTCTTCTCAGTTTGCTGGAGCGAGGAGTTTCTTTGCGGCGGTTCCTCTGAGGAACAAAGACCGCTCTGTTCGGCGGTGAAGAATGACGGCTGTGTGTGGAGGGTTCTGCCGGGCCGGAGGAGCCGCCTCACTGCGGACCGGCGCCGGCCTCAGCTGCCCTTTAAGAAACGGCCAGATGATCTGATCTGAAGCTCCGACCATCAGAACCAACACACACACAACAGGCCCAATGTTCAGGTCCAGCTGTGCTGCAGTGAAACGTTAAAACAGAAGAAGAGCATCGATCAAAAACCACTGCAGACTGGGAGGAGGTCCCCTCTGGACAAGTTTAACTTTTTCACCAGTTTGGGTACAAATGATGATCTTTGCCTTCAGTGGAATAAAAGACCCAGAAAAAAAAGTGGGAGAATTTATGCTAAATGCTGAAGAGCTTCTAAACTTCCTGTTTCATCAGTGAATTAAATAATGAAACTTGTTTTCAGTTTTCAGTCAGAAATGTTAAGTCAAACATTTGAAATGTTCATTTAAGAGTTACATGAAGAAGTTAATGTACAACTGGTACAACAGTTCTTTTAATAAAAATAAAAATACAGGCCTGTCCCAGTAAATTTTGCTGGGCGATTGTCTCAGAAATTATTGCGATAAACGATAATTAGTGATTGTTGTCAATTTTAATTAGAAATGTTGATTTGTTCTGAGTGTAGTACCTTCTTTCAACCACAAGATGGCAGTATTGTTTGAACTGAAGGATGGATAGTGAGGGAGCGAGCAGCGTGTCTCTAAGGGTGCATTCACACTTGCCCTGTTTAGTCCGCTTTAATCGAACTCTAGCTCGTTTTCCTTGAAAGTCCGGTTCCTTTAGGGAGGTGTGAACACGCCATCGAACTCTGTCACGGAACAAAAAGGCGAACTCTGGCCCGGGCTAAAACCTAGGTCTCGGTCCGGTAGAAGCGAACTCCAGCGCGGTTCGAGTACAGTGTGAATGTAAACAGACCGAGCCCCGCTCCACAAGCAAGAAGTGGAGTACAGCGCAGGACAAACAAACACACATTTCTCTGACCTCATATGGAGCCGTCAGCTGACTTGTGTGGAAAACAATATTCTCCATGGTCTTCTGTCTCATCTTCTGCTCATGCTGAGTCCATTTTTGAAAAATGACAAAATATAACTCCTAAAACTGCTAAAACTTGATGCCACTTTGTTTTTATTTACAGAAGAAGAAGACGACGTGTCTTCAGAGGTTTTTGTGTCGTTTCTTTCAGTAGTTCTTGGTGCAGCGCCCCCACAGGCGAGCGGGGGAACAGGTTGGTTCAACAGGTTGACTCGACTGCGCAGTGCAGTGTGAATGCAAACGCACCAGCTCAAATGTAACAAAAGCTCATGAATATTGGTCCCAAACCGAACCGAGTCTACCGGACTATCTGGTGTGAAAACGACCTAAGAGAAATGGGAGGGAGGCCCCTTGACGTGACATGGGCTGTCTCTCTCCGGTTCTCAAAATGGCGGACGCTCGGTGTGGTTTGAGCTCTTTAGCATTTTTCACACAAAGCTTTTAATAAAAAATTTAAATAAATCAGTAAACAAGTTCTCAGCTTCTTTTTGCAGAGAACTTTTTACACGAAGGCACGAGTTTCAACTGTGAATTTTGGAGCTTCGACAAGATGGAGGTTCTCTCCCTCATGACCAGAACAGTTCTTGAAAGAGCCACCATGTATTTACTTAGCTTTAAGAGTACATTTAAAACTTTTAGTGTAGTAAAGTCTTCAGTCTTTACATTTTCAAACAACCAGTCTTTCTTGTCATTAGTCAAAATGATTAGTTTCCTCTCAGCTTCAGTCCCCGTACCTGAACTTGACAGAATGTTATGAAATGAAGAATCTGTACAAGTGGAGGACAAAAAAAAAAAAAAATTTAGTGTCCTGATGCTTGCTCAATAATCTAGTTAGAAAATCTAACAAGAGGTCATCTGGACAGATTCTTCTTTTAGTCCTAGACATCATATTCAGGAGATAAAACTGTATGTCTGTAAAAGTCATGTATTTAAATAAAAAAAAAAAAAAAAAAACTGACCTAGGACCTGAGAGATCATCCTTCGGTTGATTTTCAGCTCTTTGTGACTCAATCTGGAGCCAACATCCTGATTTCTGTCAAAACTGTGGTTTGGGGGCATTTTCAATTAATTCAATTAAAAATATGGGAACACGTCTGTGACATACAAAGAGCCTACAATGTTCAACTGGTTCTTTAAATTCAAGCTAAATGACTTTGAAATGTGCAACAAGTGGCACATAGGTGCCATTTTATAGAGACTGTTTGCAAAGAAGGCTTCTGATTTAAAATAAATAAATACATGGGTGCGTACTTGTAAAAACAAAATAAGTGGTCAAATATTTATAATGTAAAATAAAAGCAGACAATGCATTACCTGTTCCTCTAAAAATGTTCAAATACAAGGTCAACAATTGAGGAAAAGTTGCCAAAGTCAAGAGAACCAAAAAAAAAAGGGGGGGGGGGGGGGCTTTAACCTGGGTTTAGGGCGATTATATTTACAAGAATGCCATGTCACCCTGGAAGCTACAACCACAAAAATGTGGGCTAAATTAAGCTCTGTTATGTGGAATAAGTGCTTTAGCCGGTAAAGTAGAAGGGGACGAGTACAAAAGCCTGAGGGACACCACAAACCAGTCAAACTGATTAGGGTTTTAAGGCGACTGATCCAGAAGACAAACTTTAAATGGTTTTAAACAAAAACATTCCTCTGAAAACATTCAGCTACAAGGACAGAAACTGGGTGAAAAGCAGCTAAAGTCTAAAGAAAAACTGATAAAGTCTGAGGAGCCATCACCGAAAACGTGTGCATGATGAGTTGAAGGTTTCAGGGCCAGTTTTTACCAATTTACATGTAGACAAAACTAAGGTTTTATGAATCGCGTAGTACACAGGCGTTACGATGCAGATGTTTTATTCTCTTGTGATGTGTCCGGTTGCAGCTGAAGAAAGGTCTTACCGGTGAAGAAGACCGAAGGAGAGTCCTCTCCTTCAAACAGCCCTTTGGTCCTGGAGTCAAATCGCAGCCAGAGGCCCACGGCGAGGACTGCAGTACCTGCAAGCTACAAACAGACCATTTTACCACATCAGGAACATTTTACACATTTACGTTTCACATTTTTTTAAATTTCTAAAGTTTGAAGTTCTTCCCAACAGTTCCTCGAGCCACTCGGACCTTTTCCAATTGAAACCCTTAAAGAAAAGGCCCAACGTGTAAATAAAAAACACTCCACCTAAAAGAGCAAATCATAGTTCCCTCAACAACAAATGACTCAGACGTCCTCAGAAACCATAAATCCGTTGACATCATCCAAATAATCTCAGAGACGCGTTGTGGGAGTGACGTTTGTTTTGCAACAGTTCGACATGAAGCAACGCAGCCGACCTGAAAACTGCCGTCGCTCCACGAGGAATCGACCTGAATCGATGCAACATGGAAGTAGTGAGAGAAGAAGAAATTATTTCTTTGTTCTTTTTATCTTAAAGCCTCCATTCATGTTTGGGTTCACTGGAGATAAGAAATTTAAAAAACACACACACAACTATCGGATTGAGAGCTCTGACCCTGAAAGTATGAAGCATTTTCTCTTATGCCGATGATTCATGCCAACAAACACAAATGTTATTCCAGTTAATCTGATTGGCAGGATTGTGGGTTTTTTCCAGAGTACTGAAGGTACACAGATGATCCTGAACTCAAGCAACAAGACTTTTCTCTACAAACCTTTTACTCTCATCATCGGCTGAAGGTTGAAACTTTGAAAACAGATTCCAACATATATAAACCTGCAAGTTTACGGCCATCATCACTGCCCCAGTGTGGTCTGGACTCCATAGTGGATAGATTTATGGGCTGATGAAGAAAGTTCACTACAGACTGATTTAATACAAAGGTAGAACCTGGTACTTTCAGGGTTTATACCCTGTGGTCACTGTTGACCATACAGCCCAGTCCCTGTAGACACCTGGCAATCACCTGGTACGTACTTCGTAAAGAATCAGTTGGAAATGTAGCTCGGAGTCCGATAGGAGCCTGGCCAGGATCAGATACGTGCCCTGAAATTAAAAGGTAACCAAGCATAGTACAGCTTGGTTCTTTGTCTAGAAACACAGACAAGATATATATTAAAGATCTAATTGTTTCAGTTTGCAAAACAGAACTTTGTTCAGATTGCTGGTTTACTTGTGGTTCCTAGAGTTCCTAAAAGTAGAATGTGAGGCAGAGCTTTCGTTCTCAGGCTCCTCTCCTGTGGAACCAACTTCCAGTTTCTTTCCCCGAGGCAAACACCTTGTGTACTTTTAAGTATTTCCTTTTTGATAAATCCTATGGTTGGGGTTGGCTTGAGTTTCAGAGCTATACCTAAATTATGCCGCTACAGGCGTAGACTGCTAGAGGACCACGTTCCCTCACTCTGCTGCTGTAGAAACCTCCAGCAGAACCAGAACCAGGCTCAGGACACACATCCATCTACCTGAACTGGCTGAGGTTAGAGGGGACTGGAGAGAGACCGAACGGACGGTCCAGGTGTAGTTTCTATAGCTATACTTTTATAAATACTTTCTTAAATTGTTCAACTTTCAAGTACTACCACAAATACTTTTAGGGCTAACATTACACAAGTAGTTCACATAAAACTTTGGATATAAAATGTATTTCTTCATTAAATGCTAGATTTTAATTGCTACGCTAATGCTATTCAAGTCAAGGTTCTTTATCGTCATTCGCATCACAGGGTACACGAGGTGGAACAAAACTGTGGGCACAGGGTCCCAGTTACATCAAACAATAGCAAAATTATAAAGTGTAAAAAGATTTATAAAAAGATACGACCGTTTTCATTCAGTCGGACAGTTTTTTTTAGCAGTACCATTGTTAGCCACTAGATGCAGCAGAGTGGTATTAGCAGTAAGGCATGCTGTTGTATCATGTAATAGGTAAACGTGGAAATAATGACAAATTCAAAAAAGTTCAAGACAAAAACAACTAGACTTGATTTATTATACTTTATTGTTTTTGTCTTGAACTTTTTTAGAGTTTACCACGTCCTGGATGACGGAGAATCTTCACCAGCTTTTAATGACACAACCGGCTTGTTAAAGTCTCCCCACCTTCGTTCTGCTCGCTGCTTGGAAGTTAAACCAGCTGCACCGACCCGGTGAAATGCAGCTGATTTTACCATTTAAGTGCTTTTATTAAATAAAAGTTCAACTGAGACACACACATTTACTATACATTTCGAGCAAACAATTGTTTTCAAGTGTTAATCTTGTTAAATTCTTGTTCAAGTCCTCCCACGGCCGACATTTGGCAGCCAATAGATTTTTAGCACACCTGACGCTCTGTGTTAAAGTTAAAATTACTTTAAACCCACAGATGAATTTACACAAACTTGGTGAGAAACATGTTTTAAATGTGTGGAATTAAAGGAAATCTAGGTGAAATGTTTTTGTTTACTAGTGAATACCTTTTTTTAACTTGCGCACATGCACGCGCACACACATCATCGTGTCCCCCCCACATCACTGATGCTTCTGACGCCCTTGCCTTTCAGTTTTTGTATTTATCAAAGTCGAACCATTAAAGTCTCATTCTACTGTAACTCCGTCTAATCAGAGCGGAACAATAAAACTAGAAGAGGAGGATTTCAGCTGGAGGCAGAATGACTCGACTCCGCAGGTCACAGCAACCGAACAGCGCAACAGTCTGACCGGCACGCACCGTCCTAAAGACGAACCGGGAGAGAAATTCTCTTCAAGTGGTTTTTTTCCTTCAGCGCATGATGTTTCGAGCTGCCGCTGATAAAATGTTTCACGTTACATCAAACCTCAAAAAGCAAAACAGGAAGAGCGTCAGAGGAGCTGCTGCCTGGAAGAATAATCAGAATCGTCAGTGACGCGTTGACAGCATTATGTGAACATGAACGTTCCTCTGGTTCTTCTTCTACAAACACGACCAACTGTAAAATAAAAAGCAGTTTCCTGATCGTGACACCTTTCTCTACGGGTCCGACACAATTTGCAACAATAAGAAACGAAGTCGGCTCTTCATAATGATCATACGCCTGAGCAGAACGTTTCCTGATATTTGGTGAGTAAAAACTCTCCGGGGAGGTCAGAGCAAACATTTACCCTCGCAGGTACCAATTAAGAGTTCAACCACAAACCCAGCAACAACATTAGCACAACAGTGAGAATTAATTACAAGGTTTGGAGTTAAACATTCGGTTTAGGAATACATTTTCTAAACAAAGATTCAGCCCAAAATCAGCTACAAGTAATGGAGATCATGCACACAGACAAAGAGCTCCAACACAAACGTTTCACTACTTCCCACTAAATAACACGTCGGCTGCAGATATTCAGTTTTAAGCTTTTAGCAGGGGAACAAATGAGCTAAAGGAGCTAAAAGAGTAAATTGTGTCGGACATAAAATGATTTGTCTTAAACAGATATTTGTCGGATATATCGCCATCTAGTGGCAAAGTATCAGATAGCAACCAAATTAAACTAAAGGTTTTTAAAACCTTTTTGTCTGCAGCTGCGTGAGGTTTGTGTGATTTTCACCTGGCAACATTTTATCAGCTGTTAAATCATGACAGGACAGACTTTAGTGAAAAAAAAAAAAAAAAACACAACAATCCAAGATGGCCTCGGAAAACATAAAATGGCAGTTGCACTCATTTTAACATACAACAATAAAATTTACTGAATTATTCCAAGTTCATACGTTGAGCTTCAACAGATCACATGACAAGAAATGCTCTTTTTTTAATGACATTTATACCTGGAGATCATTTTACAAAGGCCATCATCTTATAAAAAGAGAAGCTTGAGACAACTTTCTTACAAAACAGTAAGAAAAATGTGTCAATTATTCATCAGTGTCTCCATCTTTTACCACTTATCCATGGTCTGGTTGTGGATTTCGATTCAGCGCTTTTTCATCAAGACCAACCGAAGCAACACCCTCATTACCGAGGACGAGGCCACGTAGCTCCTTCCGACCATCACTGGGGAACCAGCGGTTCAGGTACTTCAACATCTCCACCTGACGCACGTCATATTTTTCTACAACACCGGAGAGCTTCGGACACAAAACTCTGCAGCTCCAAGTTTTTCCTTCTTAAACTGCATTTACCAACAAACAACAAGAGTTTTAACATCAGTGAAACGTTCATCCGCTGGTACCAGTGATGTGTTTTTGAAAAAATAAAATAAAATAGAGACATTGTATTTCCTTTGAAAATGCAGTGCGGATGCTCAAATGCAGAAGAACTTGCTGAAAAACTGCTGAAATGAGTTAAAAAAAACTGCTGAAATGAGCTAAAAACCTGCTGAAATGAGCTAAAAAAACTGCTGAAATGTAGCTGAAACAGCAGAACAAGCTTACACTAGCAGAAGAAAGCAGAAAGAATGTACGTTTGCTGAATTGGGTTAAAATAAGCAGAAATGTGCACAAAAATTATGAAATTAGATTTTAAAAAAGCTGAAATTAGCACCAAAAAAGAAAAAATGTAGCTGAAAAGGCAGAAATCACAAACTACCAGAAGGAAGTGAAGAGATGAAACGAGCACAAAAAAAATTGAAATTAGCTGAAAAATCTAAATTAGAAAAAAAGGAAATAGTACTGGTAGCTAAAATAACTAAACTTGCATAAATAGGCTAAAATGAGCACAAGGTGAAATAAGCAGAAAGTTAATTAGTTTGAAAGTAGCAGAAATCACAACGAAAAACTTGAATTTATCTGAAAACAGCTGGAAACTGCTAAAGATTACAAAAAAGGTAGAACAAGCTTAAATTATCAGAAGAACGCTGAAAGAACATGTTTGTCCAATTAGGCTGAAAGAAGCAGAAATTAGCTCAAAAATATTGAAATTATATGGAGGAAAAAAAAAAGCTGAAAATGGCACCAAACAGCTGAACAGTACCTAAAAAAAAGCTGACATTTAAAACAGCTGAAAAGTACCTAAAAAAGCTAAAATTAAAAACTAATAATTGGAAATAAGCTCAAATTATACTGAAGGAAGTGTAGAGCACATTTTTCCTGAACTATGCTGAAAAAAGTTTTAATCAGTGCAAAAATGTGAAATTAACTGAAAATGCTAAAATTAGCATACAACAGCAAAATATTAACTGATAACAGCATAAAAAGCTCAAGCTTGCAGAAATAAGCTTAAAGGAGAATTAAAAAGCTGGGGGAAAAACAGCTGAAAGTAGCTGAAAAAAAGTTTAAATTTGCACAAGCAAGCTGAAAGAAGCTGAAGCAGAACAAAATGTGAAACATGTGAGTGGAGCAGTAAAAGGTTATAAACAGATCTAAAGATCTGAAGGATTTAAAATGAGCTCAATTAATTTTGTATAAAGGAAAAAAATGGCAGAAAAAGCCAAATATTTCAAAAAGCTAAAGTTGCACTAATACCTGAAGTCATAGCAGGATTGTCCTGAAACAGCTGAATGTACCTAAATTGTTGAAAAAGCTTAAAAGGTGCAGGACGATGATCGCTCCGAAAACCATACGGAATAGGGACAGTAACAGGAATAATAACTATAAACAGGAAAACAATAGTGTGAATGCTCCATAAGCTTCACAATAAATCAGAACGACGAGTATAAAAGGTGCTTCAAACTGGACTGCCTCCAGAACAAACAACATTTTTCTCTTAAATAATAATAACAATAATAATAATAATAATAATAATAATAATAATAATAATAATAATAATAATAATAATTTCCCTGTCGGCAGCTCTCGCTTGTTTAGACCAACTTGAGGGAACCAACCGGAGCAATGTGTTGACGGTGGGAAACAGGAAGTTTGTTTCTGAAGCTTCTCCCTGGGTGAAAACAGTGATTAACTGTGTGAAGCATTTAATTACAGAAACAAACGGAGCAAATAAACAACATTTGTTGAAAACCGCTGGACCATGTCCAACATTTACCGTTATGAACAAACACGTTCTTATTCTGCTTTAAACTCAAATTTATTGACACTAATTCAAACAGAATCTGTGTCTTTGAAGAAAGGAACGATTTTAAAAGGTTGGTCCCTTTTTACGACATTACAAATAATTTGCATATCGCCCGCCAGTTGTATCCGGGGTGTGTGTTGGGGATCACTCACAGCTACTACCACACAACTCGTCAAATTTAAAACACAGATTTTATCTGCAACACAATTACAAAAAGAAAGAGTTAATAAAAACGTTGAGACGATTCAGAGGCAACAAAAAAAAAAAAGTTGGTTTTACTGATGAATTATGGGAAATTTCTGACAGGAAGTACCTCAACTTTACTCCTTCAAAATAAAACTTGTGTGTTTCATGCAGGAGTCGTAAAAAAAAAAATATATATATATATTTATATATATATATATAAAAATTCTTAACTTTCTGCTGAACTGTTTGATTTTTAAATTTTACTCCAATATCTGTAAAAACAAACTAAAATGCATCTTGTGGTTCATAATATTTTGCTAACGGAGACGCAGGAGAGAACATTTGTGCCTGCGCTGTGCTGGGGGGTGGAAGGGTTGTGTTTGTTTGTGTTAGAGCTCAGAGCGTTTTCTAATCAGCCAGAACTTCCAGCACAGCCGGTCCGAGAACAAGCGGGTCGACCCGTTTGGTTCCACTGCAGCAGCTTAAGGAGCCGAAAACACAAAAACCTTCAGATTTGATCCACAAGATGAATCCAAGCCCGACAACGAACTCAGAGTGTGAGAGGATCGAGAGAAAGTTTAAGAACGAACGCTGGACGGCCTGAAACAACAGCTAAAACTAGCTAAAGGAGCAAAAGGCTAAGTACCAAACTCAAGCTAAGAGAGATTAGTCAAAGGCTAAGTAGGTATTGCTAGAAAAAAAAAGTAGCAAAAGGCCAAACAGCAAACTAGGTAACAAGTTCAAATGAGCAACGAGCCAAGTAGAAAACATTAGCTAAAAAATAATAAGCAAAACGATAGCCAATGTTAGATAAAAAAAAAGTAGCAAAAGGCTAAGTAGCCAGAGCTAGATAAAAAAAAATCAAAGTAGCAAAAGTCTACCGGTAAGTATTAACCAATGCTAGCTAAAAAAAAAAAAAAAAGAAAGCCAAGTAGCCAAAACTAGCTTAAAAAGTAGCAAAAGGCTAAGTAGCAATCACTAGCTGAAAAGATATAAGTAGCAAAACGCTAAGTAGTCACTGTTGCAAAAAATAAAAAACAAAACAGCAAAAAGCTAAGCAGCCAATGCTAGCTCAAAAGTAGCAAAAGGCTAAGCAGCAATCACTAGCTACAGTTAGAAGTAGCAAAAGGCTAAGTCACCAATGCTAATTAAAATAGCAAGTCTATGCAGGCAGTGCTAGCTAAAAAGATAAATAGCAAAAGAGTCAAATGTATTTAAATAGCACATTTAAAAAACAGCAACTGTTAAAGTGATTAAAAATATTAAAAAAAGATCACAGCATCAAATATTAATTTATTTCAGCATGAGGAATAAAAGAATCAAACAAGAAATATAATTAGAAACTGAAATATTAAATCAAATCACCAATTCCAGCCAAAAGTGTAGAAAAAGGTTAAGTACCCAAAAGTAGCTAAAATATCTTGAACTGGATCAATTTTAAACTCGTGGAACCAATTAGAGGCAATCCACTACAAGATGGCCGCCACAGCAAAGAGTCCACAGGAATCAAAACATGTCTCGACTTCATTTAAATAAATAATTTTAAAAAGGGGGCGGGGTTAATCTTTTATTTAGGGAGAAAAAAAACTTGAGAAGTTCTGATGAAGTTTGATCAGAAGTTTCATCTGAAATTAACAGAAAAACGTTTTTAAACTTCCGTCCAATTCTTTAACAAGAGAATAATTCAAAACAACTTAATCACTCAGGTAAAGATCTGAGCAGAACCAGAACCAACACATGGTCCAAACAGAACCAGAACCAACACATGGTAAAAACAGAACCAGAACCAACACATGGTCCAAACAGAACCAGAACCAAC